ATATGTGTACATACATACATACATGCCACGGTTACTTGTTTTCTGGGTCTCTGGATTCAGTGTTCTCGGTCTGTGTGCTTTCCCGGCATCATTCGGCTTCCATGGCACATCTCATATGACTCACATGAGTCATTCTTGTAATCATTCGTAATCTCTTTCTGCACTCTCCCCACATGACGCTCGTCAAGCTGACCGAACGACTTCTGAAGGGTGCTGCACACCTCTCGTGGCTGGACATAAGTCGCTCTCGTCGTCAGAACCCTTCGACGTCGTCTGCTAAGCGGTCAGGTCTCCAGGCACCAATTCCTGGATCTGATGATGTTCCCGCATGGCATTTGCGAATGACCATGGCCCCTAACCTGACCAAGACTAATCAGATCTCAAGCCAGGCCAGGCCAAGGCAAGCCAAGCCACGTCTACAATCATGAAATGTGGGACTCCGGACTGCCTCACAAGAGCTTTCAAAAGAGACACCTGGGCCTTTCAGGTCATGACATTGCGGCCTGATGCGCCAGCCTTGGGGCACTCTTCGTAGCAAAGAGACGTCAGGACGGGTTGTTTTTGCCGCAAGCTGCTCCGGAAGCTGCTCTAAGGCCTCGCAACGATGAGTGTGCAAGCTCCACTGCACTGCATCCGCCATGCGGACGAATTTTTTTTGGGGGGTTTCACCACGGCCAAGCCGTCGACACCACGGCATTCCATCCTGGGCCCTTACTCGTTTTTCTTGCTCTCAGTAGCGTCGGACAATCGTGCCCGTTTGTATATATCGGCAGGACACCACTACCTTTGCTTGCATCGTGCAGGTGTGGCCTCTTCAAGCGTTGTCATGTACCACTTTACTAGTAGAACATGCAGCAGCTTCTTCTGGCGTTGTGGGGACGAAGTCCGGTTTGAAGAAATAGGGCCGCTAGGCATAGGCATCCTTCGCTAGCTGCTAGGTTGTGTGGTTCCCTAGACGCGTGGACTGACAATTCGAAGTTTGCCACAGCAAGCATTGATGGTGTCTTTGACACAGACCAGGGAGCCAGGCAAAAATATGATGTGAAGCTGCAAGAGCCGGTGCATCAGCTCTGAACCATTCATAGCTGTCTTGACAGTTCAAGCTGCTTCTTTTTTGCAGGTGCCGGATTTGGGGCAAGGGGAAGTGCTACTTCGGGCTTGCGCCACAATGCACTTTCGAGTCAGACTATCGACAGCGACAGTATTGTCATGGTGGCTGAGGTAGACAAGTTTGCGTTTAGCCACATGGCGTTGGGATACCTGATGAAAGGCCTTGCTTGCAGAGTAGCGTGTAACCTTCACGTGGCTGCTTGTGTAGACTGGGGCAGGCTTCACACGAACTTTTGGTGCGTATCACAACTTCTACAAATGCCAAGAGGCCATGTCATTGAGGTGATTTTTGTGGGACGTGCATGTGTCACAGCTGCGAAGCAAGGAGAATCTGTACCGCTCTGCCTGCTGGGGCTTCATGACGGTGATGGAGTCCACTCACCCGAAGGTTGGCCCACATAGAGGACTTTCCCAGACTAGCCCATGACGGCTGTTGGGTAGAGAACGCATGTTTGCGGCATTGCCTTGTTTTCTCAAATGCTCTACGCCTTCCTGCCTGCCAGCTTCTGGCCTGCTCAAGGACAGAACGAGCAGCTGCAGATCACTTCAGATCATTGCAATCTTCACTGCACACTTGAGCATTCTCAGCACGCCAGTGCTATGTTTCGTTAGCTTTGTCAAGCCAAGCAAAACAATCGCAACCGTTTCTGGCGCACAGCCACAGCCTCAAGGGTTTAGCTAAAGGATTCACAAGGGAAGGTTTGCCGCTTCGTGACATGGCCCCTGTGGGCCGTTGCTGATTCCGTGTTCCTTGCTACCGATGGCGGCGGACAAAGAGGCTGGGAGGAAGACAGTGCATGGCTGCATGACCCTGTTGCTCATTTCTCTAATTCGTGAAGCTTCGACATTCGACGTACTAGACTCAGACAGACCTGGCAGGGTATTGCTGCCAAGACTATGGGAAGTGCTGGCACCTTCTTCAAGGGACTGCCGCTGACTCACTCTGATGTTGTCCAACAAGTTCAGCTGACAGTAGTGCGAGCCCAGCGGTCGAGCATGGATGCTAGTTGCTAAAGGTGTGTTGTCGGTGGGTCGGGAGTTGGGTGCCACCACCTTTGCAGAAGACAACTTAAGACACCTTGAAAGCCACTGGTACAGGCTTAAAGTGCTAGTCCGAGAACCAATACATCATACCAAGCAGAGCAAACTGCAAGGCGAAGGCGGAGAGAGAGTCATCGTTTGTGCAAAGCTGATACCTTGACACCACCTCAGGCAAGGCAACACTTCGCACAGAGGAGCTATACAGGACTCCTTGCAAGATCCAGTCTTGTGATGACATGTGCCAGCCGCTCCAGCAGCGGAGTGCAGGCCACTATGCCGATGCAGCTGGAAGCAGTTCTGGCGAAGCGGGAGAAAGCTGAGAAGGAGCACAAACCTGCCCGGCCACCAAACGTGCTTGTTGACGGAGTGTATGTCAGAGGCTGGGCTGCCGAAACTGGATGTTTATACACTTGCTGCACCTGATTGCTGAAAAGCCTAGGTGTGTTTCAACCATCCTTTTTACAGCTCAGTTCGGCTTGCATCGAGCTCAACTGAAGCGATTCCAAACATCCTTCGCCATCCTGAGCATTTGCAAGACTTTGGAATCTCTTTCTCCTGTGGGAACTTGTAGTCACCCTGCCTTCAGTCAAGGGTCCGCGGATCCCAAGCAGAAGCCGGTGCTTCGACATGTGATCGTGAAGGATCTCAACAAGGCCCCGCAGAGATTCAGCTGCGCCGCTACGGTCGGCGGGACTTCGCATGCAGCAAAGATGTTGAGAGCTCCGAAGGTCGCGGCGCAGCTCAAGTACGAGGTTCCAACGACGGGTATTTTCGAGAGGAAGCTTGGCTGCGTTTGGCTGCATAAGACTCGATCTTGCAATTTGCCTTCGATGCTTCTTGACACGTCGCTGCGCGGCAGGAAGCCACCCATGGGCTTGTACTGCGTGTTCGACGGCCTCTCCAGAGCCGGAGTTGGAGTTGCTGGACCTGCGTCCGCTGAGCTCCTCTCTGGCACTTGCCCGACACCCACGATATTGAAGTTGCAAGCAGATTTCCATGTTTCAGAGTAAGTGCAGGCGACAGTGCCACAGCCAGCCATTGCCAACCCATCAAGCCAGCCACGCTCGCGCTGGGCCAGACCAGCACGCGGTTGCTAAGCCTCAGGACTCAGGTACAGTCATGGCTGCCCTCCTCCGGGATCCATCGCTGGAGCAAGGATGGCCACATGACGCCATGCCGTTAAGTTGACAGAACACGCTTCCTCTGAGGTTCTGCGCATTGAACTTCCACATAGCGCTTCTGAACTCACTGTCGGAGTTGAGGCCCGCAACCGCGACGTGAGCGATTCTCCGTGTCGCCGTGCCATTGCTTGCGCATTCAGAAGCAAGCCTTTTGTGAGGGCTGGCACGCCATCTGCGGCGTCTGTTCAGACTGTGGCAGCCTCGGATGCACCATGACGTACGCCTCAGACGAACGTCAAGGACACACCATGGCATGATCAGTTTGCTTAGGCGGTGGCAAAGAGCTTGGAAACTCTCGATCAAGAGCTCCTGATAAGGCTATCGCTCTGGGAGCAACAAGCCTGGTGTTGGCTCGCAGTCTCCTGGTGACAGGAACCCGGAGATTGCCGACGGATGTGGTGCTGCAGTGGCACTGCTCGTGCGGGACCGGAGTGGAGAAAACAAAGCTGAAACTCTGACGTCCGTGGTCTCTGAACATGCTTCAGGATCACCTCTTTGTCGCCTTCATGGGGCGCTGTACCGCGGTGCTGTGTGAGGTTGGGACCCCGTAGAACGCCTGAACCGGATTCGAGTTTGACAGAGTGCGCAGGTCGCCAGCTAGGCATCCAAGGAACGCAGTGTTTTTTGGGTTTGTGCAGAAGTACACAGGGGCCTGCAAGCCCCCCTCACCGTCTTTTTTCTTGATCACCATCGGGCCGTCGGCACGAATCTCAAGATCTTGCGGGTGGGCACTGAGCGGAGATGTGGGTCTGGGTGGGTCAGATGCCTGCATCACATCACGTATACTGCAGGTTGGACTTATGCCTGTGAGCTAATGGCAGTGAACCAAGCCTTGCTTGTGGCTTTGGGGACTTCGGCGCATGCCTCGCGTGGTTTGGTCGCAGGTCACTGATGACGGCAAACGGGTGGCTGTGAGACTTGGGAAAGGCCGAGCGCTGAAGTCTCGAATGCCTTTCGCATCATTCGCCAAGAGTTGGAATCAGGAGCCAGAGCCGGTGGTGTCGGAGGAGCTGTGGTGACATCTTCTCCAGATGTCATGCTCCTGAATGAGTGATCGAAACACGTTGCAGAATCCTCGCAAAGGAGCCTCAAGACTAGATCCAAGTGCATTGCGTGCATGCTTGTAAGAAATGTATTGTCGGACACCAGTGAGCGCATTCTCCTTGCGCAGAATCACGACGATCTGCCATGCTGCGAGCAGTTGCAAGCAATGAGGTGCAGACGGTGTACTTGGGGAGCCCCGAGCGACATCCGTGGCTTGATTGCAGTGCAGTGAGAGGTTATGGCCGGTAGCTGAAACGCAATGAAGTTGCTAGAGGCTTTGAGAGCAGTGAGCTGCGAGTGAAGCACACCCATGCCACATCCAAGGTTTCTGGTGTTGTCATCTTCGGCGATTCCCCTGAAAGCAGCAGAACTACTCGCTCTCGCAGAGGACTTTTCCGTGCAGACCGGGACTTAGCGGGATTCGACGTGCACCGAGGAGTTTTTCGCTATATCTCGCTTGCTTGAGGCCGCGGGCCTTTTGCGGGGAGGTTGCCTCGCGTGCCTCAGAATTGGCGAAGTCGCCATGCACGGCAGTGCAGGTGGAAGAGCCCCAAAGCTCAGATTCGCCTTCAGACCACTTTTATTGTGTGAGCCTCCGGCACCCAACTTTGCAGGTGAACTTCCTGCCGGAGCCCTCCCTGCAGGCTGAGGCACAGGTAGAAGAGAAGAGATGACTTGGCGGGGGCTTTGGGAGCAGAATCTCGCGCTGCAGGGTCCCCCAGCCAAAAAGGCGAAGGTTGGCCCCGGGCCTTCAGGAGTGGCCTCTGAGCTCATATTAGTCAAAGCCCGCAGGCTCAGAGTTCGGCTTGTGGCTTGTAGTGGGAAGCAGCCGTTACACCGGGGGGCGCTTCATGCAGAGCAGAGCCCAGGCCACGCAGAGTATGCGGCTCAGGCATATCCTGGCCACGCACCTACGCACTCATTCTTTTCTTGTTTCTTCGGTGTCTCTGGGCGTTGGCCTTTCCTGACGAAGAAAGAAAATAAATTGCTGGTTTGGGAGACCACCTTTGCTGTAGAGATGTTAGACCAACAGCGTGGAAGCCGCTTGCAGTCAGAGACGTACGTGTGCTTCTTCCCCGCTCCTCCTCTCCCATTAGTCCCTTTCCGTTTCCTTTTAGGTGAAGTTCCATGAGGGCACCAAGCCGGCCGAGGATCCCAAGGCCACAGAGCGAAAATCGCGAGAGCCATGGTGCTTTGCTTGGATTCCGCTCTCTTTCCGTCTCAAGGCCCCTTGGGCCTCCCGGACGAGGGCAGAGGCGGAGCGCCTCCTTCGCGGCGCCATTTCGGAAATACGGCAGGATCGGCCCCTTCCTTGGTACTGCCGTGGTGTTTTCCGGGCATGAGGGCATCTTTCTGCCCTCGAGCGCACAGCCAAGGAAGTCCTGGACAAAGACACCTAAAGATGCTCAGACCTCACGTGTTTTTGATGTGGAGAGGAGGTGCATACAGAAGTTCAGTGGCATGAGAGTGTCGTGGCTGTTGATTGACTGGAGGAGCTTTGCCGTGTGCACGGAACTTCTCTGAAAAATGTGCAGCTCAGGTAACGGAGCTCATATCATTGAGCTCCAAGAAGTTCATAGAGCTTTGCCGAAAGCTCTCCGACTGTGAAACTGCGCAGAAGGCAGGTGGGTTACTCACCAGCATACAACCGGCCGCCACGCTCTGAGCTTCCTTCTGTTTTTCGTGCCGCTTCGCCAGGGGGCTCTGGCTTGTGGTGACCTCGGCTGGGTCGCTCCAGAGGCGTGGGCTTGTCGGCTCTGTCCTCTCTGGGTTTACATCGGGTTAATCGGGTGTGTGGTTCTCTCGATCGCGACTTCGCACCAAGCTCAGCTGGTGGAGCTGGGGCCTGGAGCCTGCACGCTGAACTGCCTTCTTACAAGGCTCGGGCTGCGATGAGCGAGCACTTCAAGGAGGCTTGTATCTCGCTACTATCCCGATGGTTGACGTTTGGCATGTAGCGTCATGCTACCCTTCTCATGTCCAGGTGTGCGACATCCTGCAGCCCGGTCAGTGGAGTGACATCGTAGCCTCACACCAAGGTTTGCACTTGGTGCAGCGAGTCGCATGAATCTGGATTCAGCGGTCACCAGCATTGGCAACTATGATTTCATCCGACGAGCTGCATTGTTGTGTGTTGTGTCGGCTCGCTGCACCGAGCAGCTCGATAATGTCTAACCTGCGAATGGAAAATTCGCAGCGCGGCCAGACTGGAACGTCTGAGAGGCTGTAAAAACAGCTCGTGTGTTCCATGTCATGTGCCCATGTAGCCAGTATCCGCAGCAGCCAGACATGTGGCTTTCTGCAATCCTTGCGTGGTGGTCAGGTGGCTGTTGGAACGAGGCTCTACGGCCTCGTGCCACCGGCAAGGCGCCCTGCGACGATCTGAAGATCCTACAAGGGACCGCAACAACCCACGGAAGGTACCAGGTGCAGCCCGTGGGCCTGAGCCTCGGAAGCCGCGTTTCGGTTTTTGCGACTTCACAATTCGGACTGAGGTGGCACGATCCCGCCGGGAAAGAAAGGAGAGCCTGCAATGGCCCGTGACCCAACCTTACCAGCCGCAGCGGACGTCGGAGACAAGTCAGCCAGGTGGAACTTGCCATGGAGGAGATACCCTTCAACCTGCGGCGCTTCCAGGAAATGGAGGCGCAAGAAATTGTGTTCGGTTGATTCCGCGCTCTGCTATCTTGCCAGAGGTTGTCCTGTGTTGTTTGCTGCATATGATTCGATCGAGGTTTCTGAAGGCCTGGAGCCCCACCTGGAGGAGCCCTCTATGAGTGCGCTGTATTTCTGCTTTCGTGTTGGATCGCGCGCAGAGGACTGGATCGTGGCGACCAAGGCAGGGGCCTGCTCCTGGAGTTCGGATCCTCATCTTGTGGCTTGCAGGAAATCTACACTATGGCGTATTACATGGATGAGCAGCTCTTGGTGGATACTGGGCCCCTCGCATTCACAGCCAGCTGAGTCCCATACGGTCGGAGCTTACGCAGCGGGCCTCGGGACCCGGTGTGACGTCGGTCTGAGGATGATCAGCTGCGTGCTGATCTCCTGCGCCTCTGCGAAGACCGCGCTCGCTTTGGCCTTCTGTCTTCGGATGAGAGACATGAGGCGACTGCGACTTCCTTCGCGATGCCTTTCACATTGAGCGAGTAGTGGTCAAATCCGTCAGTGTGGAGGTATGTCTTCGGACTGACTTCCAAGGACCCTGCTTATTCCTGTGAGGCCTTGGCCGCAGACTGACACTTAGCTACCCGAGGAGCATCTCGAGTTTGCTCGATCCACGGATCTCTACCACGAGGTCCGGGAGTCCCACAGTTGTGCAGCCCGTCTTGGCAAAGCCGCGAACGAAGCTCCAATTTGGTGCAGGTCTTTACCTACGAGGATGTCGATTCACTTCCAAACACTCACACCGTGGCCGGGCTCTGGGCAAGCCGAGCACACGGGTTTGCACGCTTCATGCATGCAGGTGTACATGGACTTCAAGTGCGATGGCGAGCTCCGCCAACAAATTACCCTCAGGCGCTCCATCTTCAAGAAGACTGGTTGCGTTTTTTTCAAGAGCTTAGAGGATGGGAACGAATCTGATGTACAACATGGCCCTGGCCTGTGGTGCATTCTCGCTTGCATGAAAATTGGAGCATCATCGGGTCTATGAGGTGATCGGCCCAGCTGTCTTCCAGAAGAAGATGAAGGCACAGCAGTGACTTTCGCTATCCAGTGCATTGGCCATTTGGCTTTCTGCCCCGTCCGAATCAGAGCAGGATCAAGTCTTTGAGAAGCGTGTGCGGGAAGTTCTCTTCGACGAATCTTCCTGGCGCGAGAGACGCCGCATGGTGGCCGAGGCCCGGCGGATCGGCGCATGCTAACGAATCGTAGATTCTGACTGTATCCAGCGCCCGAAAAGAGTCTCCGGTGTAGCTATCTAGTCTGGGGGCATGATTGATGGCATTGAGTTCTAGCTGGAGCTATGTTCTACTACCCCGTATGAGTTGAATTCAATGTCTGGTGTCAGACTCGTGTGGCAATCAGCCGTCATGGAGATGCGCGATGCAGGTCACGAAGACGGGACGGAATGAGAAACTCAAGCATTCCTACCAGGCATTGCGCTATGAAGATGCAATGCTGGCACTTCTTCTGTGTTCTGATTCCAATGTGAAGGCTTTTATTGACCGCATGAAGAAGATCATTGCAGTAGCCTGCGCAGAATCCGATGTGCTTGGCTGTCTTGCTTGATTCTCTCAAGAGCCAAGAGCACACACGAGGTAGTAGATCCTTTGGCGGCTGCTCTTTAGGGTTTGGTTCTGCGCATGCGCCAGTGTGAGGATGTGTCCAGACGTCTGTTTTCAGCATCTGCCTTCCCAGGTCAAGCATGTCAATAGTGTGGATGGATTCGCGGCCATGTATGACAGCCTGTACAGCAATGCTACTTGCTTGCACTGAAGTTGATCTGGGTTGCTCTTGGTAAGGCAACGTTGCCTTCCAGAGATGTATGCTGTGATCAGATGCACGTCTCAGCTGGGCCATATTCTTGGAGCACTTTCCCGACAGACTGTGCGAGGGTGGTAGGCATGCGGTCTCGGTCTGGGGGTTTGCGCACAACCGCCGAGCCTCACGACGTCAGTTTTCTGCATTGGGTGGGTGGCGATCGAAGCAAAAGCCTTAAAGTTGGGACCAGAGCACGACTCGGCCGGGTGCCACGACTCGGCTCCAAGCTCCGGCGCGCGTCGCCACGTCCATGCGAAGATGCCACAGGGTGGCCCTGTGGAAAGGGAAGATCAGGGAAGAGACAACTCGGTGAAAAGGAGGGAGTTTCAGAGTTTCCAGAGCTGAGTTGCGCCAGGTCGCCTCTCCCTCGGACGTCCACGTGGCTGCCCGAGATTCCTAAAGGACTTTCCACTTCGCTTCTCTTGGCACAGAGCAGAAGACAAGGACGCAACAAACTACTGCAGAACAAAATGTTGCTCGCAGCGCAAGGTCTGCTGCTTCCATGAAGATGCGACAGTTGACGAGATCTGGAAGGAATAGCGTTTAGAAAAGAGCGAGCACCGTTGTGAGTCCCATTGATGTGGCCAGGCAACTAGAGTTGTCGTCCTGTCTCCGGCATCAAGCCTAAAGTATGCACCTGTATGCCCCGCGAAGATGCCAAGCTTTTTGTCCCTGCCATGTTTGCAAACTCACGCAGTGGCACACTGTGGCCACGCCAAAGCTCACTTTTTTGCCGAAGTCCCCGCTTTTTCAAGCGGCTGGAGCATACCTTGTGGAGCGATCGCGGTTTACGCAAGCTGTGCTCCGAGACCTGCAGGGAGTCTTCGACGCAAGTGCCGAGGCACTCGAATGCGAGTACGTACCCGGGCAGAGAAGCAGCCACTTCCTGCTCTCTCCATGTCTATTCTCCACCAGCCACTCGATGCAAACTACGAGGATTTGCTGGCATGGTTGGTAAGGGCCTTCGACGAGGCGAACGTTGAATTCTTCGGTGGAGCCCTTGAGGCGAAGGTGCATTTGGACGAGACCTGGCACCTTCGTGGTGGTGCCGGTGGGGCGCATCCAAGCACTAAGAGGATTGTCTTGGATCCGCTGGTCCATTTCACAAGGCGTGACCTTTGCGCCACCATGCTACACGAGATGTTGCATCTGCGTATCGGAGCAGCTGGCATAGATGCTGGTGCTGAAGAACACAGTGATGAGTTTGTCTTGCAGTGTTTGAAATTGAATTTGGACATTCTGGCATCTGGACTTCCCTGCTTCTGCCGCTTAGGCGAGCACGACACCGCGCTGGATCAAGAAGTGCTTGCCCAGGCTGTCGATGACGAGCTGTCTGAGGCAGACCTTCTTTCTCTTTGCCGTTGTCTCTCCGAGACATCCCAGGGAGTCTCCTGCTGGGACACGGACCTGCTCGTGGGGGATCTGCGGCGCTGCCTTCAAACAGACGAAGCCGACAAAATCGCTGGCAGATTGCAAAATCTGGCAACTGCGAGGTCATGCCGCCTAGCTCTGCAACGCGGATATGACAGCTGGTGCATCAAAAGCAGAACGATGTCGCGGTATTGTGCCACGAAGAGAGGCAGAGATTACCAGCTATTTTCTGCATACGCTGAAGCCTGGTCCCTGTAAGCTGAGTCGGTCAATGACCAGCTGAACCGACAGCACAGGACTGCAAAGACCTCACAGCCATGGTGCAAGATGTGCCTGAAGTGCACGGGACAGCTGCCGCGGAGTCGTTGCAATCGCCCACGTCTGACTTCGGAGCGGAATGGACTCGGGAAATTTTGGCGGACAAGCAGGAGAAATGAACTGACCGCCGGCGGAGCAAGCGATGAGGGTGGCTCCAGTGCGTCGTCGTCACCTGTTCTTGCCCAATTCCAGACACGGATGACTCAAATCTCTGGGAAGGGCATGTACGACGGTTACGACGTTCGTGCTGGTCCTGGACCGCAATGCAAATCTAAGAAGCAGTGCAGTTCTTTGGATCACAGCTCTATGGTGCAAAGCTTATGAACAAATCAAAAGAGCTGTTTCGAGGCGAAGATGCTGCAGCAAGCCACTGACGATGCGGAGGAATATATTTTGGAGATGAACTGGACGGCGATTTCAACTTGGCCAAGGGCTCCTCTGGGCGTCGCATTCGTTGGTGTAGACCTCAGGACAGGATGTTCATTCATGTTCATTTGAAGATAAGCCGACGTGCTGATGTGCCAGAACTTTTGCGGACACGGCGGTAGTTCTAAAGAAGCTATTGAACCGTTGTCTTGAGGTGGAATTACACATTGTGGATTGTTGAGAGGGAGTACCGTCCACCGTATAACGAGCCAGGGCACAGGTTTCGAAGTGGGGGTTCGTTTGCATCACATTACAAATCAGGAGCTCCAGTCCTATCCTTCCCCTAAACATGCCGGTGCAGGGCTATCTTCCGGCGACCCTCTTTGCGCACATTTTCTGAAGGGGTGGCGAGGGCTTCTCGGTGGGCAGGTAGTACATCCCAAGATTCCGGAATGTTGTCTCGGATGCTGTGCCGTTCACTGTCCTGCCACGATCATGACGCAGAACCGAGGCCCGGCCCAGCGAGCCCCCAAGGAGGCGCTGTTGCGGAAGGCCGCATTACGTGCCTCACGCGTTGTGCCTAGGGTGCAGCGAGGTGCGCACTGGAGGTAGCGTAGCAGTATGTAGCAGTAGCAGTCTGGAGCCTTCCTGGATGTTTGTGCCTTCAAAGAGTCAATGCAAGGCTCGGTTGATAGATCAGGCTGAACAAGCGACAGTTAACACGAATAAGAGAAGAAGAAACTAGATTTACTGCGACAGCTGCAGACAATGGAAAGGACACCTGCTGATTATTTGGGCAGGTATTGTGCTGCAACAGCTTGCAGGGCATCCATTTCTCGAGCGGGGCCTAGACATGCACACCGTGAACAAAGCTCTTAATATCTTGCGTGAGATCGTGCATCCAAATATGCCGCTAGGTAGCTGGTGTCAGATAATGCTTCGGCTCTTGCGTCAGACTTAAAGAGCTATCTTTACCAAGGCAAATAGGCAAATTCGTAACACCTCATGCCAAATTTGCCAATCGGCCTGGGCAGTCTCTACTACCCTGGCCCCTTCAAGGACTTCCGAGAGTAGTAGAGACTGCCCTGGCCGATTGGCAAATTTGGCATGAGGTGTTACGAATTTG